TAAAATGACTTTGCGCTATAGAATCGAGTATGCAACTGGAAGGATAATTTGTAGAGAGTGTTGTATAGAGAATTTGTCGGTTTTGAATAGAAGCGCGCGATCGACGAAGCCCCTTGCGACCTATCATCTCTGGAAAGGGCGGAAAAGCAGCAGAGGAGGAAAAGGTTCACAGGATCACTCGCAGGGAGTAGCAGCTGACGGTGCGCGTGACGTCATCGTTTGCGTGGTGGTTCTTTGGGAATAAAGGGAGCCCTCGTCGATCGATATTATTCCACTCGCCCGGGCGACGCGACGCCCCTTACTACATTACTACTCCCTACTACTCCTCCTCCTCCTCCTCCTACTTCTACTATTACTCCTACTATTACTACTACTACTACTATTACTACGCGACTGCAGCGCCTTCGCCAGGTGCTCTCTCATTTCGTACTCTCCCTACCAAAGTGCCACATGAGCTGGGCGTGACGTCACACTTTTACTGTTTTACCGCGGAAACTCGATTTTACATTCTCGAGAGAATGTGTGCATGATTTTTCTTTAATTTAGTAGCGTGGCCTATTAGGAGATATATTCTCCGATCTCGAATGCATCACTTCTGACACAGCTCCGATATGTAACAACGCCAATTGTATTCTCTATTCCAATTTCTTCTATCGAAAATTTGGGTGGTCCCTCTTTATTCTCTTCCCAAGCCAAGCCACCATCTACGTATCTCGCAGAATGCATCGAGTCAAGTATGTTAGGAAGAGATAGAGAGCGAGCGAGCTATTTGAATGAAAATGTGTCTTTTGAACGTTTTCGACTGGAGCTCTTATAGTCCATTCGAGTCAACTGGCTGACAGGGCGTTGCCCCGTATCGACGACGGCGACGATCACAACCATTCATTAGAGAAACTCTTGCCAAAGAAGCAAGATCTGTGTGTGCGCGTACTCCTCCTCCCACTCGGGAGAATTACAAGCACCTACTACTATCACCTTTTATAGTACTATCGATGCTACCCGCCCACCCCACCTTCCAGCTTTTACTACTGCTCCTCCCCCTACTACGTCTGCAGAGTACCATTCCACGAGAGGAACGTACTTCTCCCGTCCGTCGCCCACTCTTCTCTCGTTATCGACGAATCTTCGAATGCAACGCCACCCATCCTACCCTCAAGCTTTCTAAACTTTTGTCAACTCCTAAATAGAGTATTCCAATTAGACTGATTTATTTCATTTAACCTTTTTGCATTAGAGACGATTTTATAAAACAATCACCAAGATGCATCCTCGGTTTGTCGGGGACCACCCCCGATTATGTTTCCATACAATTTCGATTCGCGAGTTTATTCTTACTCGCGACGAGAGAGATAGATCGAAATGTGTTCTCTACTATAAAAGTTGAAATATATTCAGTTGAAAGTATATTAAGAGTTTATCTATGTCTTTCCATACTTAACTACTTAATAGAAGAAAAACAAAGAATCTCCTTCTTTCAATTTTGATCTTGGTTGGCGTGCCTTTCGAGGGCGAGGCCGACGACATTTCCTCTCTCTTTTCCTCTCTCTTTTCCTCTCTCTTTTCCCCGTATTCGCATTACTATTCTATGACTAGTTGCGTTTCGTTTCAAACATCCTGACTATTTTCTGCTCGTTCCAGTTATAATAGAAGAAGTCATTTGATTGGAAAAGATCCATTGTCTGGTCGTAAGGTCTCTTGGATAATTTTTCGAATAAGAAAAAAGCATTATTTGCATATAAATAATGGAAAAGGAAAGTTTGTTTTTTGTTTTCGCAAGAGCATAATTCTACCGCAAAGTGGTAGTTTCTGGTTGGTAGTTTTTCGATCCAAGTACAAATTCCAAGTTGGCACGCTTTCGTTTGCCACTAGGGCGCGGCACGATGTTGCGAGCAACCCTGGAATTTTCGTGCCTGGAGAACATTGATCGCATCGAGCTCGAATTACATCGTCCAACAAAAATACATTCCTTTTCTCGGGCAATCGCATTTGCTTTTTTTCTTCGGTAGTACCTCGAGAAACTGTCTTCCGATTCGTCCAAGTAGCTGATTTTTCTCGTCATTTTGTTCAATTTGTTTGAAAACATATACGGTAGGATGTTTTGGAAATAGCAATGGAGCTCGGTTTGCGAACACAATTCGTTCCACAAATGTCGAGATCCCGGCCGGATCGGATATTTAAGTTGGTTTTTTCTTTAGAAGAAAGTGACCGAATGCAAGAGTCCACTTTGTTCGTACGTTTTTGAAATTCGGAAGTGGTTCTAGTGGCGGAAGAGGAGGTTCTAGGCATCGTCGCGCATTGCTGGCTCTCGCATTGCTGGCTCTCGCATTGCTGGTTCTCTCGCTGTCCTTGTCCGAGAGGAGGCAAGGTCAGGGTCGTTGACGAGTCCACTGACTCTGCTTCGCCGAGAAACGACGAGCACGTTCTCCAGCTCCGTTGTCCTTGTCCTTCTCTTTCCCATCTCGATTTCCCATCCACAAGACTTATTATTTCATAGTATAGAAAGTTCAAATTCAATGAACTTTTAATAAATGAGATGAAATAAAACTGGAGCGCGGCGAGCCTACCGATAAGAAAATTCCAGTCGGGGATAGAATTCGAGTTCGGTTTCTTCCTCGAAATGCGTCTTGTCGGCTCTTGTAGGCGACGCGCGCCTAGATAAGCTAAAGAAAACTAAGGAAATTAAGCAATAACGGTTGGTTCGTCTACGAGACAGACGCCTTTCTTCTATTACGTCTCGCGACGACGACGCGTAATCGAATCCGATTGGTTGCTCGACGAAATACCATTACACGTTTTTTCCAAGTACAAATTCTATCGAGATAATAATTCCTTTATCTTAGAAAGTCGACGTCTCTCCGATAATAGCGTGCAATTCGACGCCAACTGCATATGATTCGCGGTGGTTCGCGATCACGGCCAAGGTCCCGAGGTCTACGCGCTTTTATTGTCTTTGTCGTTATTAAACATATTGTCATACGAAGACTGGCTGGGCAAAATTATGCAATTTCAATCGTCGAAGGCTTTGAACAAATTTGACAAAACTTAACAGATCCACAATTCCTTGGGTTTCTACGAGTTTTCGTCCTATTTACTTCGTTAAGAAGAGATGCTCTGCGGAATTTTCTCGACATATTACCGCAACATTGCGGTTTTCTCTCGAATGCCGCATCATCGCCGTTAGGCTTTTTCTAATTTACGCTCCGCTTATATCTTTCTGACCGAATAATTGTCCCCTACAAATTGCATTGTGTATCATATTTATATTCTAAAATACTTAGCACAAGTTTTTAAGAAGTTTTAACGAGCATTGCAAAAGTATTCTTGCGAAAAAGAAGATGGAACGAAGAACGCTACGCTCGAGTTTATGGATAATTACCAAGTCACGGTGTTATGCGAAAATGACAGGTTTACGAGCTCCTTTTTGGAGGAATTCTAAAATTCGAAATTTTATTTGTTTCCTATGTGTCTGCATTTTCCTTCGCGAATTTTTCTCTCGTCGTAATCGGGCGGTAATTACACGACAATAACTCATAGATTTTTCTTAAATACTTAATGTATTTTTCTAGAGATACTCCTTTTCTTACGAATATACATATTAAATCACCTATTATTTGTTATTTGATATGAAAAGATGGCGTTAAGTAATAGCGTTACGGGAGAAAGAAAGAATTTTGATGAGAATAAGGAGGAGGTATCGCGTTAGCCGTACGTAGAAGAAAATCTTGTTCTCTTCGTCTTGCACGTCGTGTCCGGTCTTTGGAATGCCGCCGCCGCCGCCGCCATCGCTTGCGCAACAAGAAGAAGGCGAGCGTCGCTCTCCGAGAACCCGACACGAAATGATCTTGCTGGGAGAGTAGTTTCTCTTCCAAAAGAACAAAAAACAGAAAGAGAGTGCTGTCTCCATTTTGTTATACACATTTTATCCCAACTGTATCACGAGGTAGAAATATTTGTTGGGGATAAAAGTATCAAGCGCAAACCTATTTTTCTTCGTGCCCAAATTTTTGTTTTTCACAGTTTTCCTCGTCGGTCCTGCCCAAGATCGGATTTCGCAGAAAGCAGCGCGGGACGACCTTGGCCCGTTTGCGGAACGGTGCTAACGAGATTTCGGCACGTGCGTCGTAACTCTGATCGAGCAGAGTATATTTGGCACATTTATACATCCCGATATCCTCGGGATATATTCGCTAAATCTGATGTTTTTTTCTTATTTTCTGTTCTTCCTTCGAAACGAGGCCCCCCTCCGCTTCCTTTCTACAATCTAATGCCGTAGAAAGTGGTTTTTAGTTTTCTTTGAAATATAGATTCTCAATCCGGTCCCACGGTTTACAAATTCTATGCCGCGAATATGTACGCGAGAATGTACATCGAATCTTAGCGAAATTTATAAAAGTTATAACTTAGCATCGGTATCGACATCTGGCTCTCGTTAACCACCTGTCGGCAGGTGCTAGCCGTGCACCCTTTCTCCATTACCATCTTCCTACCATTCGGTGTCAACTGGCCCTTTTCGTTTTCGACCCTTTAGCCATTTTCATCGATTCGTCGCTAGGTTCGATTTAACTCTACGCCAGAGGCTATCGTCTGGGGAAACCCTTGAAGCGTCTTCCACGTAAACAGGAAGAGTCCCTTCCTGTCTCCCTTCCTGTCTCCCTTCCTGTCTCCCTTCTTTCCTATCCACGTACTCCGGTACAGGTTGTAAATAGTGCGTAAGAAACACCTGTACCTTGGTATATACTACGTTACTACGTACACGTGTCTTTTTACGTTCGATTCATCGCCAATGGCGGTCACGTAGCGTCCTCTCCCTTCCAATGAAATTTGACTACAGAGATAAATTTGGTTAATGAAATGGTATATAATAAAACTATAGACATTGCATTGCATTGCGGTATATGAGGATTCGGAGAGTTTGCCAATTAGATTTTTCCAAGTAATTCTGCGCGAAAATAATTATTACATATTTCTTTTTTGATTTTTCGTCATTTCTTTTTTTACAGGCAGCGATACTTCAACAGACTGCCGAATATATCTACCAATTAGAGCAAGAGAAAACACAATTGTTGTCGCAAAACTGTCAATTGAAGCGACTGGTGAATCAACACGAAGGTGGTGATTTACCTATAAAGAAGCGTAAACCTGATAATCAAGGTAAGTTATTCTATTTAGAGTTAGTTCCAAGTTGGAAAATATTTAAACGTACGTTATGTTTCAGGAGTTGTTGTAAGTTTACCGGTGCACGTAAGCGAGAGCGGCGACGAAGGATTGGGCAGTATGTCCCCGGAGCCTCTTTCCGTAATTACGGTGACAACGGAGGGCCATTCCGTGGTTAGCAGCAGCGAGGTCGTCGAACTTAGACGACAGTTGGAGAGAGAACGTCACGCAAGACTGCATTTGGAGAAGCAGATGAGAGCCATTCAGAGTCAGCTGTATCCGGAAAGATTCCGAGATAATCAGCTGATAGCGTATCAACCTCACGAGGTAATAATAAGGCCTTCGCGCTGAAGGCGGCCGGCCCGGTGTGCTGCCAGCCACCCCCACCGTTTCACCTTAATAATAATCTTTCTATTTTGTATTCAGGTAATCGAACATACGGACAACGTCATGAATCAAGAAACCGAAGAAGCTGTTGCAGCATTGCAAGTGGTATCGGTTATGTCATTACCCGCGGTGGGCTCGACTCAAACGGTAGAAACGTCGAGTCCCGAACCGAGCTCGCCTCCGTTGTCTCCTCAACCCGGTGACTTGGTACCAAGCGACGAACTGATAAAAGAAGGGGAATCCAGACCGAGCAGTCCGAAAATCGTCGCTTTCGCTCCGAATTCCGTGTTCGCGAGTTTGGAGGAACAAACCACTGTTGATTCTTTTTCCTCCTCGAGTCGTGTCACTTATGGCTCATCGAATGCTGATTTTAAAAGTGCTTCGCCGCAATATATCACGAGCAGTCCGACCAGACCTTTCTCGCCTCCCGCGGAACCGCAACGATTGCCAAGCGTCCTCGAGGCTGCGATGAAGGCAGAACCCAAAGTCGAAGTCGAAAGGTAATCAATTGGAAAACAATCCCCGAGACAAATCATTAAATCGTATTTTTCATTGCAAATAACTTTGTTTTCTTCGTAGATTACCATCGCCGTCTAACTCGTTGGACGATGGCACCCCACAAGCGAGGCTCTATCTCGCCAATACGTCCCGACAAAATCTCGAAACGATCGTCGAGGCAATTCGCCATCTCGAAGGTGACCATCTTTTTAGCGACGAACCATTGGCATTGACGAACGAGCCATTGGCATTGACGAACAAGTCTACGATGAAGAAGAACCCGTCGAACGTCAAGTGTTCCTCTACGAATTCGACTTCGACGTCGAGTTTACAATTAACGGGCAAAGAACAAAGTAGTTCGACGATACCGTCGGCAAGTCAAAATTCGTTAAACGCAACGACGGCATGTTCGACGTCGTCGTCGACAACGACGACAACTACTACTACTACCTCTGCTGCTACTACTACGGTTACGACGACGAAACATCAGCAGCAACGACTTCTTCACGCTACCGACGTCAACAACTTCCTTCAGTTCCAAGCTCAACAACAGGCCCAACAACGGCCCGGCGTTATTGTTGTGAAACACTCGTGATCCACCCTACTCGCGCGTTCTACCGTGCACTGAACGAAACTGATACACGTTCCATCGAGATGAATTTATTATTACCTTCGAACGCGACGCGAGCCTATCCTCGAAAATAGACCTTTTTCCTTTACTTTCTCGCGTTTTAATAAGGACGCGTGCTTCGTCACCGGATTTAACTTTATTATTATTATTATTATTATTATTCATTTATTCATATTCATATTAATTAATGACCGTATTCATATTCATTCTATTAATATTATTACTATTAATTAATAATGTGGTCGCGACGAAGGACTTCATCGTAGTACGTAGTCCTACATAATTGGACGCTAACGAACGTACGTATGTTCCTAAGAATGAGGTTCGTAGTATGCCATCGTCTCGACGATAAATTCAAGATTCGTTTTTTGATAATATTACAACAGGGCCAGATCGAGCAAAGATCGAAGAAGAAATCCTCGTCGTTGAATCGTCTCTCTTCTCTTCTCTTCTCTTCTCTTCTCTTCTCTTTTTATTTGTTTTTTTTTCTCTCTCTATTTGTTCATACTCTAAAATATACTTTGTTCTATCCTCGTTTCTACGTCGTCCGAATCTCGAAGGATCCTTAAAAATATCCTTCCCGTGATTACCGTTAACCCTCTTCCTTGTTTCTTAGTAATAGAACGAGCGGATGTTGCGTCTGCTTACTTGTCTACGTGCGCAGGCAGAAAAGAGAGAGGGCTAGTGCGGGGAAGAAAAGGACACACGAGGATTTCGTTTTTTTTTTTCTTTTTTAGATTTAAGACGAGTATCTATTTGCAGCAGTGTCTCTAGTTAAGTAAGGACTCGTACCGTCTATTTATATGATATATACGGGGTGTATATAAATTTTCTATGAAGTTTCTTACGGGCTTATAGAAATCGTTTGACCGAGAGAAAAGAAGAAAATTGATATAGCTTTAGAATTGATCATTCGATCGACGACGAGTATTTTCCTTTAAGCGAATACTTTATATTCTATCTATGAGTTTATCGATTACTTATTGTGTCATTTTTTTATTTGTGTTATATATTGACAAATGATATATATTTAAAGTAAATTTAACAAACACGCGTACACTTATTGAAATTAAACTTGTAGAATTTCAATTGGTTCTCGATAATTCTTTCCTTTAGCGGAAAAACCATGAAAATAAAAAAGGATAAGAAAATTTATAATTAATTACAGTAAATTAATTGTTACATTACTGTTTTATATATATAATATCGAAAGTTTTCATATATTAAACTTACAATTATTATTATTATTATCACCACCATCAGCATCATCATCATCATCATAACTATTACTATCATTATTATTATTATTATTCTCTGCGCTGTATATTTATTCTAATCTAAAGAATTGTTTCTTTAAAAAATCGATTAATTATATGTACTTACGTCCGAAGATGAAAAGTTCTCGATAAATATATTCAGTTTGTTAGTTCATAAGTTGACTTTTTTACGATAATAATACTTACTCTTCGCGAGACGGTACAGTTTTTTGTATACATACAAAGTTAATTCTTTTTAAAATGTGCACGCATTCGTTTATAGTTCATAGTTGATCGAAGGTAAGGAAAAAGCGTGCAAGTTAACACGTATCTAAATATCTACTTGTTATTACAAAAGAAAATTGACTATTGTTGAATATCGAATTCATTTCCGGGCGTACGTTCATCGAAAAAAATAATCATCAATTCTATTAGCCCGTATAAAGAAGAGCTCGTGACTGTTTTAATGAATACACACCTCGTATACTGTCCGTATATAATACATACGTATTTGCGTTCTTTTTCTATGGTATACCTGCGAATACAAGAAGAAGAAAAAATAGATAACGCATTCGTACGAATAGGCGTATATTTCTAATTTCTTTTTCTCGATATTTATATGATTACTATAGTGAGAGAAAGAGGGAAGAATGCATTTGCGTGTGTGCGTCTGTGTGTGCGTCTGCTGCGTGTAAGAGAGAAAACGAAAAATAATTACTAAAATAATGATTTAAACAAGACGACAAATAGAGAATCAAAATATGCACTCTCGTAAGTTTTTAACATCCGATAAGATTTGTACCAATTAATAAGAGACATACGCATTCTCCTTCCCTGGAAAAAAAAGTCTACACGAATATGTATATCCATACACACACATTGATATACTTGTTAATAAGTTCTTTTTATTGGTCACTTGGCTAGAAGTCGGTGTCGGTTAAAAGAGAAGGTATTCCGTCTGATCTGTGCCAAATTATAACGTAGCCCAATCTTTTCGTTCCTCCGTTAGAGATACATAATATACATAAAGGTAGTTTTTTTCCGTGTGCGTGCGTCCATGCATAGATACATACATACGTTGTTGTAATAAGAAAACGCATCCCAACGACGCGACGTCGATCGTTCTACGTGCAACGATAATGTTTGCGCGAACAAAAAAAGAAAAAAAAAAAGAAAAAAAAAAAAGAAAAAAAAGTAAGTTAACGAAAAGCTACACTTTGGATCCTTTTACCTCGTATTATAATATATGTACATTTATATATACATGCATATTCGTTTGAATGTGTTTTTTTTTTACGATTATATATACATATACTATTACACACGTATCTATATACATATGCATGCATACGCATACAGAGAAGTAATGAAAGATTTTCTCGTGCCTTTTGAAGGGAGGAACGATCGAATTCGCGGGCCGAAACGATCGATAGATCTGCGACAGAAATCTGCGACAGAAGAGACTCGAAGAAATATTATCCTTTAAAACGCACATATATAAGCGAGCGTATTTAAAAAGCTTTTCCTCTTAGTTCCAAATTGACTCTTTTTCTTCATGCGGATAATGTCCAATTGACGACGAATGGTATTAATGATCCTTTCATCATTGATACTATTAACTATTCAGTAACTATCGTCACGTTATTATCGCTATTATTACTATTGTTATTGTGACCGTTGCTGCTGCTATTATTACTATTATTATTATTATTATTACTACTACTACTACTACTACTACTACTACTATTACAGCTACACTTCTAACTACTACGACTACTGTCACAATTATTATTCCTGCTACCGCTCCTATTATTCTTCCTACTATCGCTATTGCTACTGATTCTATTACTCCTAGTACCGGTACTACTAAACTAATACTAATACTATTACTACTACTACTACTATTACTGTTACTATACTTACTACTGCTACTACTACCACCACTATTATACTATTACTATTACTATCACTACTACTTTTACTCTAGCTATTTACTATTAACAGTGTACTTTTTCCACGATGACGTTAAACGATCTATAAGAGCGGTGCATAAGAGTTAAAACGTATTTATGCCTAAGAGAAATTTTAATTGTAGGATATTTGTCAAGTATGTAAGTAAATAAACGAGCGAACATGTTACTAAAACCATATTGTCACTTCACACGTACACTTTTGTCACATACAGGAAAGGCACGCATCGACATACATACACAAATGCATACGAAAAGTTGAGCAGATTTTAGTTACAATATTGTTTGTATTTAGGTAAGAGTTAGATGACAACGCGATGAAAAATACAAGTTTGTAATAGGGTCTACAGGTAAATGTTAAGCTAATTTTTAATTGTATTGTGTGTGTGTGTGTGCGTGCGTGTGTGTATGTATATATATATATATTTATATATATATATATATATATATATATTATTTAACGAAGCCCGCAAACGTTACATGCGCGATTATTTAAGTAACTTTTACGGAAATAGGTATATGTATATTTAAATGAGAATGTATGTGTATATTTGTGTGTGTTTGCGTTTATATGCGAGAGACAGAGAAAGAAGATAAATAAGTTTAAGAAAGAGAACACGACAAATACAAGTACACACACATGGTTGAATATGCATGTATGTATGTATGCACGCGTGCATGGACGCGTACGATCGTGGGTATCGATAATTGATCGTTAGCAATGTCATATTGAAAAGACTGGAATGTATTGTACTCCGGCAAACAATAAGAATGATCACTTTTTTCCATCATTTATGTTCTTAAACAATTTTTATTTTCGGATACGAACATATCTAACGTGCAACATAATATATTTAAAAAAAAAAAAAGTACAAAAGGAACGAATACGAGTTAATAAAAATTTCAAACTCTGTTTGAAAAATTGTAATTACCTGGATGTAAATATTTCCGACGTACGCAATCATACTTTGTTTCCTAAATGGAAAGGAAAATTGATCGTATTATTGACTGCCGGTCTACAAAAATTCAACCATATATTCTTTTCTATTTCTCGTGACGTTTGAGAGAAGAGTAAAAAGTCATGGTTCAATCTTCGATCCGATCTTAAGCGTCCTTACTACGTCGTACAATAGATTTATCGCATTATTGTAAGTTATATATATAGAGAGGGAGAGAGAGAGAGAGAAAGAGAATGATCTCTTATTGTTTCAATTGGACAATTTCGCGCACAATTCTGTTGCGTGCTCGTTGCACCGAGCTGTCGGAAAATATTGCACGCGTCATCTTCGAATGACAAATATATGAAAAAGAAAGAAAGAAAGAAAGAAAGAAAGAAAAAATGAAATCTTCGAAAAGACGTCTCGAAGGTTTTATTTGTCCTTTCCCGTGAAAAAATATACGTACAAAGCAATCTAGACGTAGAAATTCGCGCGAGGACGTAGCGATGGCCTAATCAAGGAGTCGAGTAGAATATTTCCTTTGATATTATTCGATCTTTTTATTCGTTTGTCGATTGTTTTCTGGGAAAAATAAAAAATGTTGGATTTTTACGTCGACTCGAAATAGCGTTATCACGCGAAACGACTCTGATTATAATTTTCTACGATCGCGAACAAAATCTCCAAGAGCGCTTCCATGTAGACCGATTCGTAACGTGGATATGCGTTTGTAGGAAAACATTGCAAAAACAAAAAGAAATATGTATACGAGAGTGTTCTGCATTCGTGTGTATTCGTTGCAGGTAATACATATAGATAAACGTACAAGTAACGCACGCGCGTACGCTGCTTAATAGCGTTTAGAAGGAAAGCTTAACCTTCCTAAAAGGCTTTCGTATGTGATTAATTATCTTTACTTTCATTATTTTTTTTATCAATTTCGTCAAATTTATTCTTATCCAGTATCGTATCTTAGAAAGTCTTAAGAAATGGTTCGCGCGTGCAGTGGCGGATCAAGCCAACCAAAGTCCGAGATTCGACTCGAGACGAGATTTCCGAGTTGGACGAATAAAGTTTCGTTAAGACATTCGACAAATTTATTTGAAAAAGAACCTAATTTATCGCTTAATCCACTACTGCGCGTATGTCTTTTATCGTGTAATTTTGGTGTCATATTTTGCAGAATTGTTTGTAGATGAAAAATAGAGTAACGAACGAAAGAGATAAATAGGTAGATGGACAGGTAGATGGACAGGTAGATGGATAGATAGACAGAGATAGATAGATACATAGGTAGGTAGGTAGATAGATAGATAGGTAGATAGGTAGGTAGATATAGAAGACGAAAGATCGTTTTGGGAAAGCTAACAATCGAATTTAGTCGACGTAATTTATCATAGATATGTACGTCGCGTTTGTTCGAGATTTTATAAGATGAAAGAAACGTTATACTTTTTCTCGCCTATTATTCCGAAAAGAGAGAAAGTCCAGTGTCGAAAAGTTACGCACGTAACTTGAAAGGAGTCTGGAGTCGTTCGAGCGAAATTAAATTCCCGGCTTAAGAATGAAAAGTAAAGAAAAAAAGCTTATAAGAAATGAACATTTCGTTGGACCGAATTCCAGACTAGTGATTAAGTCATTTCCAACATTATTAACGGTCGCATTTGATTTCTCTTTCTTCTACTACTATGCAATTTCATTTTTGTTAACTTCTTGACCGTCGTTAAAGAAAGAAATATGGAGGCTCGTCAGTAAATAATATAAAAATGCATTTTTTGTTCCCGGAACGCGCCGCCCACCCACCTGCAACGCCGTGCTTAAGGGTGGAAGACTATTTAAAAGGCCGACCATTTCCTGACTTTCTACACGTTTTATTTTACATCTTGACTATTTCAAAGATATGCTGTTTTGATTTCAAATGGCGTATCGATAGTTTAATAGGTAATATAAGTGGTCTTCCCCCTTTAAAAAACGAATTATTGTTTTTTTTTTTCGTTTTTTTTTTCGTTTTTTTTTTTCGTTTTTTTTTCGTTTTTTTTTATTACACGAGGAATGAAGTTTCATTGAATTTGTATGTTTATAATGAATAATTAAGACGAGTCATTTGATTAAATAAATCGCGACACCAGATATACATATATAATAAGTATCATTTCATTGAAAATGATCACTGTTCGTTCGCGCGATAATAAAGCATCCACCTTATATGATAGTAATTAGAAATGAGAGAGGGAAAACGTTTTCTGGTGAAAAAGAATGAAGGAAGAAAGACAGAGAGAAAAAGACTCGTTCAAAAGTTTAGCGAGTTTGTAAAGCAAGCGCGTTATATTATACTTATGAAAGAGACGACGTGGTTTTACATTTGAAGCTAAAATAATTAATGGCAAGAAAAAAGAAAACTAATAAAAGGAAAAAACAAACAAAGAAATAATAATATTAATAATAATAATAATAATAATAATAATAATAAAAAAAAAAGAAAAGAAAAAAAAGAAGAAACATTTATACAAGTTTGGTAGCAAATGGCGACCGACGGTGGTTTTATTGTTAGTTAAACGGTGTTCGAACGATCCATATTATGAAAAAGAAGTAGAAATTTGCGCAAATTGCGTACGGTGTTATAGGTGTATGCTCGCCCACGGAGTAATAGAAATATATTGTTCACGATGGAATTGCAATAGCGCAATTTTGTTCCCTCAAGTTTTTTAATCCGAGATATTTAAGATGGACACAAATATATATTCGTTTCTCAGTGGCGGATCATCAATCCAAACATTTGAAATTTGATCAAAGTACGAGCACGGACAAATGTATGTCATGTTTCTATCGAGAACTTACATATATGTATATCCGACTGGGCCTCTCGATCGCCACTGGCTCGATCAAACTAAACGCGAATAATTCATGAAGAAATTAGCGAAATGCGCGAATATGCGAATGCGACAAACACGAGAGAGAAGAATAATTAATATTACACGATAATTAACGTTATATGATAAGAGAAGAGGGTTGATATTAAGCGAGTAGCATTATTTCGGACATGTTTTTTCACGGCGTCTAAGAACAATTGACCGTTATGGATCAATGAATGAATGAATGAATGAATGAATGAACGAACGAACGAACGAACGAACGAGAGATAGAGAGAGTGATTAGGCGAACTACCGCGTCGAATAATAGATATAACTCGTAAATCGGAGATCTTGTGTCTCTTATTAACCTCGGACGAATGTGGAATTACATAGATACAGAAATGTTCTTATCTTTTTTCATACCTTCCTTTCTCTCATACTCTCAACAGCAACACGTTTGAAAAATAATTGTCTCGAGAGATATGAGCTTCGATCTTTATTCGATCTTTATTCGATCTTTCTTTGGTATGCATAGAATATAAAAGGGAGAAGAGGAAGAAAATGAAATAATAGAAAAACCGACGCACGATATTCGTTCCATCCGAAGCGACTGCAAAAGCGTTCTATTAGCTTACAACTCTGTATATTATTATTAATATTATTATATTACGATTTTTTATTATTTTTATTATTATCATCATTATTATTATTATTATTATTATTATTATTATTATTATGATTATGATTATGATTAACCGAGTAAGAAGTATAAAAACAAAAAGTAAAGTTCCTTGAAAATTTGAAACGGAAAGCACCTTTCGAGCTTTTACGTGGCGATAATTCTCATTATATTCGTAATCAGATGAATCAATTGTATCTTTTCTTTGGACGAGGGCCTTTCACTTCAAAACTCGAATCGCGTTTTCCGTATCACGAGAACAGACTGCCATTCAGTTGGACTTTTTTTTTTTTTTCTAATAAATGCATATAAATCGAAGGCCAGAAATGACATTGGTAAAAAAAGAAAAAAAGAGAAAAAAAAGAGAGAGAGAATGCGAATGAGTGAATGTAAGAAAAGTCTAGTTGAAAGAGGAGGAAGTATGAGAGCGATGCACTCGCGATGCACTCGCGATGCACTCGCGATGCATACACGTGTTTGGTCGTTAAATATTTTATGAAATAAAGAAGCGCGTTATGTGCGATGTGTACCGATAATTAACCGAGAACCTGACAATGAGCGAATTTCGAAAAGCGCAAACGTCGTGTCACCGTTGTAAAGGAAAAGTAATGTTTCTCTTCGAATTTCGGCTCGCGTCGAAAAATAAGCATTTCCTTTTCGTACCGTTTCGATTTTTCGAAAAAAGATATGGAAAAAATAGAAAGAGAACAGCTTAATGTACTTGCAAACGTTTTTCAAAGTCATTCTTTCCCACCTTTCGAATCCTTTTATCACCAATTAGTAACCTATACAAATGATATTTATGTAATCGCATTTTCTACCTATTATATATATTACCTTTTTTCTTGATTTTTATTTTATTTTATTTTACAATACTATTATAAAAGACTTTTCTCATGAATTATTTGTTTAAAGAAAATATACATACTACTTTAAGTAGAGTTGGGAAGCAACGACGTACAAGAAGAAGGTAGGAGATTCACACACTATACTATATGTGCTTTGATATCTTTCAATCCTTTTTAACTCCCGTTTGCATAACATGTCATTTCTCGTTCTATTGCAGTCTTCTTTCTCTCTCCCTAACACCTACAGTATATATACATTTGAATAAACATTACAACCTATTAATATACATTGGATATTAAATAATTTCAATCTGATGTTTTATTGGACGAAAATTTTACCCTCCAAATTATCGCTGCGCAGGAACGTTCAAAAATATATGCGTTTTAGTTGAAAATATTATTCAAGTATTCGATAAACTTGAAATAATTGTTAATTAATCGAAGGAAATGTGTATTGTTTAAAATCACGGAGTATACGTTCTGTGCACCGTCCTCCTCGGAATTCACCGTTAGACTGGTACATTGTCTTCTGTCAAAGTTCTTTTGTTAAATGTTGCTTATATCATGATTTTCCGAAAGTTGCGCATGTGTATAAAGGGAATATTTCATCTAATAAATCAAATTTAAGATTATAACGCTCTGATTTTAGCATTTTTACATTTTTACATCTTTATGTAATTATTTAAACTAATGTATTGGGTTGACAACTAAGTGAATACGGATTTTTAACACTTTATTTTAATTTAATTAAATTATTTAATTTTTAACATTTTTTTCCCGTATATGATACATATGTATAACAAAAATAATATTCCTAATAAATAGAATTTCCTTTTTTGGAAAGTGTCATATAAACTACATTTAATAAAAGAAATTTTCTAGAGGACAATGACTCAGTCTAACGGCAAATTTCGAATAGGACGGTACATAAATCGTATACTCCGAGCTTTTAGACAACAATAAACATTTAATTAACAATTATTTGAATACTCTAATGCACTCTACTTATATTACAGGAAAATTTTACCCTCGAAGTCATCACTGCGCAGGAGTGTTAACATAATTACATAAAAATGAAAAAAATGCTAAAATCAGAACTTAGTTATAATCTTCAATTTGAATTATTAGGAGCATTATGCCCTTTATACACATGCGCAACGTTCAGAAAAATCGTATAAACAACATTTAACAAAAGAACTTTTACAGAAGACATTGACCCAATTCAACGGCGGACTTCAAAGAGGGACGGTACAAAGATCATATTCTCCGAGCTTTTAGTCAACAATAGACACTTCTAATTAACTATTATTTTAATAATCTAATGCACTCTACTTATATTTCAGATTGTTTAAACAAACACATACATTGGTTTAAATCCTAGTATTAGAATACGTGTTTTAATCAAGTCCAACAATGATACACCAATAGCGTATTAATGACGTTTCGACAGTATTTCAAAATGGCATCGCAATGACACCAGAATCGACTGGCAATTAGTCGATTATGCAGTAATTACTAGCCTTGGTAAAATGTGTATGGAGAACTGGCTGGAATCCAAACGAATTAATATTTTCATTTTTAATTAATTAACACTAAATATAACCCTTTGCATTCTATGCCTTTTTCTTGTGCAAACAAGTATCTTTAATACAAGTATCTTTAGGCTTCTTAACTTTATTGTATCATGAGCCACAGTGCGGTGGTAATCTTATTCTCTTAAGTAGTATACTCTGACTTTACTACGAATTCAAATATGTCAAATATGAACAAGTGTTGCCCCAGTAAAATTCTATAAAATCCTTTTTTTATTTATATTACGATATTTTCAATAAAATCAAATCAAAATATTCCGTGTATACCTCGTGTAATTTATATTACTACACTTTATTCTTATGAATTTTATTTTTCAAATGAGGAAGCAGAATCTTCGCATTAGAGAATTTTCACAACATTATGCTTTATTTGACAATGCATTATACTATAATTAAATACGTATAGAAATTCATTTAGGTGAATTTATTAGGTGAATTTTTATATACCAACAATCGTCAAATAAATAATTGTATTTTTTTTCTTCATTATTGTGTAACTGCAATTCATTATATGATATGTAGGAATAAAAAACGAAAGAAAAAAAAAAAAAATATAATAAAAACAATAATAATAATAAATATTCATTCTTAGATAAGAAAATAATATTGATGAATTATGTAATGATTATAATTACGTTCACTTTGCTTTTTCTTGTCGATTATAAGTAAGTCGGTACGGACTACTGTATTCGTACTCTTGATAAGTAACATTCGATTAGTTTAAAAAGTATGTAAACGTTGCTTAACTCGTAACTACTATCTCTAATCACAATGTTTATTTTTTAGCAAGTTTGAACAATTTTTTCCAATATTTCATAAGATCCGATTAGCCAGAAATATCAAATACGTTATTGGCAGTTATCCTACATTGTTTTCAATCAGTCGTTCTTCGATATTTAAAAGAAATCGCACGCAGCATTGGTCCAGCGTAGCAATGTTAATATTAAGCAACTGCTCTATTAGGCATTTGGAATTGCACTTTTATATCATTGTCAAGATGTTTATTTACATGTTACACTTTTTAAATGATTGCTTTTTTTTTTTTCTTTCTTTTGTTACTTATATTTTTGTTTTCTTTCCGTTTACTCTCGTATAGCTTTCACCGCATCTTCCTCGATATTACATAATAAAACATGAGTATTTTAATAAACAGCACGTTAATATTATAATAATATAATAATAATATTGAGAGAAAATAAAAATAAAAACTATTACTTAATTAAAAATATTACGTCGAACGCGCGAAAGAAGAAATTACAAGTTTGAGTTTGAGTTTGAGTTATTAAAAAGCCCTTAGTAGTTGCGAATACATTCAACGTCGATATTGTTGTTATTATTACAAACTTATGATATTCTCGTATATTATTTCTTCCAAAAGTTAATGCTTTTAAATGATTTTTTTTAATAAACTATATTTAATAACTCGATACCAATTGAGCAACCAAAATGTAATCTCTGTCGATACATTTATAGACAACCCAATTTTGGCATATATCAATACTAATATCAGTCTAATTAAATTTATTATCACGGAGAACCTTTTCGCAACGATTAAGTTGCTATAATAACAAGAAATATTTATAGTTAATGCGTTTTACAAATTGCATTTAAATTATATTATTCAAAGACGCGAAAAAAAAAAACATTTTTTAAATTTATCCCTTTCCCTGAAAAACAAATTAAAAAAATTAAATATACGGCGCACTGCTATATTCAGAAAAAAAGAAATTAATAATGTTATACAATATATATTAAAGCGTAATCATATATATCATATATATCTATATATATTAAACAGTGCGAATTGCATTTTTAAAGCTGACACTGATATTTTTAACACACTTTACACACTCATATTTTTTTATTTGAAGCAAAAGTACTGTTCAACATTCTGCTATATTATTAATTAGTTTTGTGCTAAAGAAATGCATGATTCTTCAAATACGATAATATTTTTCATTTTGCGTATGAAATAGGTTTTATACTTTTTTTTTCTTTTTTCATATCATTCAGTGAATATCATTCTAATAAATATAATACAACTGCAACTTGTCAAACAATATTAATAATAATAATAATAATAATAATAACTGACGTATAAATAATTTACACGTAAGATTAAATATCTTATATTTCATTATTTAGCTTGAATCTAATTTGAGGCAATTTCGACATGAACGTTTTTATTAATTTACGAAAAAAATAATCTTTATGCAAAGCATTAAAAGCTGCTTTCATTGAATCAATAAAATATAATGAAATTTTTCATCTTTGTTATTATTTTATTATGAACATAAGAAAAATTTGTATTTCCAAAATTAAAAAGAAAACGCGAAAAAGTAAAACTCTTTAAACTCAATAATACTAGGGAAGAATGTTTAATTTGAATTATTGCATGAATATGATGAATTAATTTTCCTTAAAATTTAATTCGATTATTCATTTGCATATAAGATATTTTTATAAATAATATAAATACGCGTGCTTACAAATCAGTACAATTTTCATATACATCTTAGTTAATAAAAAAAAATATATATATATATAGCCTACAACCAACATTTTTTTGCACATTTTATTATACGAATAATATTTTTTTGTTCAAGTAACACAGCTATAAAATTATCGAAACTTGCTAATATTAATTTGAAAAATTTCTCTCGATCCTATAATATTTCTTCTTACTCTTGTATTTCGTTTGATGCTCTTATAAAATTCTCTTGCCTTATTTTTCGTTTCAAATAAATATACAATAACAAAATAATAATAATTCGCATTGAAAAGTAAACCTTTCTTCTTCTTCTTCTTCTTCTTCTTCTTTTTCTTCTTCTTTCTTTCTTTCTTTCTCGTTATCTTAATTATTGCACTTATATTCCGTGATTATACATTTTGTCTCTTTTAAATTGAATCACATATATTATTTTTCAAATAGAGATTCCGTGTACAAAGATTTGTCATCTTCTCGTCCGAAATAGTTAAATAAAATTTCCATCGGCGATTCGATTAAAAAGTTATTCAATTAAATTTCAAATTTAATAACTTTATAAGTGCTTAGAAAACAAAAAAATACAATCAAATTTTCAATTATTCGTTTTAACAACTACAGACCGTAATACTCAATTACCTTTTTTACTGTTCTATAAAAAATAGCTTGCAATACTTCATGTTTTTTTTTCTTTTGTAACCATCTTGTATATTATAAATACATGAGGAATGTGCGAATACTCCAAGAGTTTGGTATTCTAGACAATGGGACTTAATTAATCATTAGGTAGATTAATCTACTTATAGAAAATGTTTATATTATCAAATGTAATCTAAATGATTCGATATATTTTGTCTTTCTTCAATATTTTAAATATAGCTCTTCAAATTTTGATGAATAATATGAGCTATATACATGTGCGCGTTTTAATGTTAATAGTTGAACATTTGAAAAATTAAACTCGCTAATTGATTATTATTATTTACCTATGAAATGGTATGCGTTTAATAAATTTTCATATTTTAATTAGCGAGATGATTGAGTACTTTTACTTTCATTTCATCTCTCATTTATTAATAATTTGAATATGAACTTTACCGCGACTAGATGTTAGGTGGTACTCGCACATCCCTAAATAACATACATATTCTCGCGCACACATTGTCACACTGCAACCTAATATTGATAATTAATTAGAATGTATATGAAATAAGCTATATGTCATAATATTTATGTTAGTAAAGTTAAAAAATCCATTCGCATATTATGCCATAATATTTGCAATAATATTATTACAATTTAGGTCATTTGTTTCTGTGACATATGGAACAACAAACACATTTCTTCCGTTGAATAATGCCAAAAATTATGACTAGCAACGCGTTAGCAATTTTATTTCGACCCCTTAACAGCAAGTGTATTACGACAACATATAGATAGGTGAAATCATGAGACAACATGATCGAAATGACAAATAATATTTATAAATAAATCTGTGCTAAACATGATACTTCAGTTCCACATGTCATCTCCACATGATATAGTCTTATTTTCTTCATCTGGTTATAAATTATTTTTAAAGACCTTAATCTTATTATCTTAGTAGTACTTACAGGAAGGAATCATAGATTTTTAGGCCTTTTTTTAGGCCATATCAAATTATATTATAT